ACTCGCTATTAATTAGAGTTGAACATAAAATCACATACTCATAAGTGAAGAATAATACATGTAATGCTAATGATATTGTCATTAACAATAATAAACTAAAGAAAAATTATGAAGCTTTAGAGATTTCATGTGACAACTACTACTACAAAAATATAGCATAAACGCAGAACTAGTTGATGAAAACGAATCCTCTTTGTGAGGATCCTAGAGATCCTCAAATCGTGTCCATTCATAGTACATCGTAGGTAAAAAATTATTTTAAATATTTTTATTTAGAATTAAATATGAACATTATCTAACGAAAATTGATTTCATAATTTACGATAAACGGACATAATTTGAGGATTCTCAGAATCCTCACAAAGAGGATCTAAAGATGATTCTCATTCGATGAAAACGTCATGGCTTAAACCTACCATGGCAACAACACACGACAGTAGATCTTATTTTATAATAAATTTTCTTTCAGCACCTTCATCAATTAAAACGGTGGGTTTTAAAAGTTTTGTAAACCAACATGCTAATGCTATATGGTGGGAGCTGCAAACGGGGCCTGGGGCTATCCACGCTCTCATGTGGCTTCACACCACTTCCATTTGGCTAAGGTTAGCTCCGTAGTGAAAACGAGTATAAGTTTATAACAGCAGTTCCAGCGTAGTTCATTGTTCCTAAGGTAATTTCTTATGCTATTCAGTGAACAATAACTACTCTTAATGAACAGTAATCGTCTTTTGTATCTCCACCCTTGCACTCAATAGCCCTGACAATAGGTAATAAAATATTAATATTTTTTTTAATAAAATAATACAAAGTAATTTTATTTGTAATTCGGATAAGATTTTTAATCGTTCTCGTTGCGCCACATGTCATTATCCGAAAAGATAATAGCAATAAAATATTAGTATTTTTATTTATAAAATAATTTTATTCGTAATTTCGGATAAGATTTTTAATCGTTTTCGGTGCGCCACGTATCATTATCCGAAAAGACAATTATTGGTGATGGATTTCTGATAAGATTTTTAATTATTCTCACGTGTCATTATCCGAAAAGACAATTATTGGTGATGTATTTATAGAAAAGTAAATATATAAAAGTATGAAATTGAATTCAAACTTGACAATATATGTTGAATTTATAGAAAAGTAAATATATAAAACTATGAAATTGGATTCAAACTTGACAATATATGACATTGGATTGAAACTTTGAGAAGATATGAAATTGTGGTGTAAGATAGAAGATAATGAGAAGGTATTTATATAAAAGTAAAATCAATTTTTTTAAAAATTTTTCAAATTTTTTTTTCTGATGTTTAATAATTTTTTACATTTTTTAAAATTTTTATTCACCTAATTAATCTATACCGTTGGATTTAAACCAATTTGAATTCCAACACTCCAGATTGTGCCACGTGGCACAACGGTAACATTTCTGATTTTTTAACTGTTTTTTTTTAATTCTTAAAGTCTAATAACGTGGACCGTTGATCTCAGATCTAACGGCTGGTATTAAATGATTTTTTTTTTATTTTTTTTACCGTGGGAAATCCAACGGTCCAAAATTTATATCCGTTGTAATCCAACGGCCATGGGGAAGCCACATGGCTCCCCAACGGTAAGATTTTTGAGTGCGTCGCGGGCCCCAATTTCTGATTTTATGTCTGATTACGCGCGCCCACGTGCGCTTGAAGTCCACGCACCTGACAGAAAAAATAAAAAAAACGCGGCTGACGTCTCCCTGACGTCAGCCCATGTCAAATGGCCATTGGGCCTGCTCCGGCTCCATCGCCAGCTCCCGTTGGACTTCCTCCCTCGGGCAATAGCCCACTGTTCCTCAGCCCGTCCCTTCAGCAACTCCTCCCGCTGGAGCTGCTCTAAGTAGAAGTTTGTTGAGTTTAAAATTCAAAACCCTTCAATATATTTAATAATAAGACAGTTCACATAATTGTAAGTTAACAATGAAGGTGATACAAACAGTTTTAGTCAAAAGGTCTTATCGTGCAATTAGGCTTGTTTTAATTTTGTTTTGTCTTGTCATTCTTTGTGTTCAAGGAATTGTATCTTTCGTTAACAAATTAGGGCAGTGGGCACAGCAAACTTTAATATATCAAAATCATAAGCCAGTAAATAGTCCTGCAGTGCTTCCAAAAGTATCAATGTCAGATTTACGCAAAAATAAATGAGTAGTCGGTTGTAAGAGTTGGAAAGTATCACTTTTCCTTCTCTCTCTTGCTTTCTTCAACATTAAAGATTTGCTTTTCTTTTTCTTTATTTCCTCTTTTTTTTTTCTTTTTTTTTTTGAAAAACTTTCTTTATTTCCTCTGTAGATGGAAGATTACAACTTAAAGTTGCATACGTCAAGAGAACGTTTAAAAATTTTGCAGTGGAAAAGTTTCTCCTTACAACAGACGATAATTTCAACCATTACATCACCTCATTTCAACTAGGTTTCTTTGACATGTTAAATTGTCATAAAGAATTCCTAATTTCGAAACATCAAAGTTATTGACAATTAAGTCCTAAGTCAAAGATTCAATAACCAAATCTAAGGATCATAATCTAAAATGTTGGTCTGCATGATACACCTATAATAAAAATTTCGTATGAACTCATATGCTAGTAGAAAATTCGATTACTGCAACTTTTAACCGGTTTATGAGAACCATGCTAGACACTAAATTCTATTCTCTACATCTATACTATCTATTAACAAAATTATCTTGTCAATTAAATGATGATGAAAAGATAATTTAATCTTCTATGACAAAATAAAATCATGGACAGTAAAGTAATTTCGTACAAATCAAAATTTGTTTTTTTTTTTAATTTTTATTTAAGCCCCACCCACATGTAATCCTATAACGTATCTCTAATATTAACAAATAAAAGGGCCACTTAGTACCTTGGTCTAGTGGTATCCCTTTTCACTTGTAAGTGAGAGGTCTTATGTTTAATTCTCACCAAAGACGAATTTAAACCACGTTATTGCTAGCCCATTGTGAGACTAAGCTCACTCCCCTCCCCTTAGTGTAGATAATATCGTTTGTTAAAAAAAAAATTAAATAACAGGATAATGCTAGAGAGATTAAGGGGGTGTATTCAATTGAGATTTTGAAGGATTTATAAATCTATGGATTTTGATAGAGTTTAATTGATTTGTAGAGATTCCATGTAAAAATTTGAGTCAATTCCTCTGAAATCTTAGGGCAAGAGGTGAGATTTGTGAATGCTTAAAATACACTATGAAATCTCTTTAATTCCCTCAAAATCCTCAACTTTTTAAAATTTGTTGAAACAATTTTCGAACTGAATACACCTAGTGTCACATCCCGGCCCAGGCCCCCATCACAACCCAAGCACGCTCCACTACCGTAGCACGATATTGTCCGCTTTGGACTTACCATTCCCTCACGGTTTTGTTTTTGGAACTCATGAGCAACTTCCCAGTGGGTCACACATCCTGGGATTGCTCTAGCCCCCTTCTCATTTAACTTCGGTTCTTACGAAACTTGAAGCCAGTGAACTCCCAAAAGGCCTCGTGCTAGGTAGAGATGAGAATATATATTTAAGGATCACTCCCCTGGGCGATGTGGGATGTCACAATCCACCCCCCTTTAGGGCCCGACGTCCTCGTTGGCACACCACGGCCAGGGTTAGGCTCTGATACCAAATTGTCACATCCCGGCCCGGACCCCCATCACAACCCAGGCCCGCTCCACTACCGTAGCACGATATTGTTCGCTTTGGGCTTACCATTCCCTCACGGTTTTATTTTTGGGAACTCACGAGCGACTTCCCAGTGGGTCACCCATCCTGAGATTGCTCTAGCCCCCTTCTCGCTTAATTTCGGAGTTCCTACGGAACTTGAAGCCAGTGAACTCCCAAAAGGCCTCGTGCTAGGTAGAGATGAGAATATATATTTAAGGATCACTCCCCTGGGCGATGTGGGTTGTCACACCTAGAATGTTATAACTTCTAATTGAATAACCTAAATTTCTAAGGATTTTAATAAACTATTTTAAATTCGTAATTGAATAGAAGTTGAATATTAAACAATCACTTAAAATCCTAATTGAATACACCTAAATTCATTAAAAGAATTAAAATCTCTCACCCCCTAAATTTGTAGACTAAACTTTGTAAGCTAAGTGATATGGAAGTTGATAATTTGATTATCACCTAGGTATTGATTAACGTGTTTATTTCTTATTGGTGACCCATTATTTAGTTTGCAAATTTAATCTACCTAATATTACTCAAAATAAAAGTATTGATTAACGTGTTTATTTCTTATTGGTGACTCATTATGTAGTTTGCAAATTTAATCTACCTAATATTATTCAAAATAAAAACCTCTCTTCTCACTTCCACGTTCTCTCTCCTTCTCTCCTTCCCATTTAAAAAAAAAAAAAATTGTTCATAGACAAAATGTGTGGACTTATACAAGTAAATTACAAAAGAATCAATAAAATTTTAATTACAAGTTAAGCCAAAAGTTCTCAGCATGCACACAAATTCTTCATCGTTATTATTATTTTTTTACAAAAGAATCATGTTTGCTACACATCATCATGAACTAATTTAATTAATATATATCGACCAGAAGTGGTTTATACTCCTATGATCAAGAACTAATTAGGGAATGTTCATTATTGATTTTTTTAAGCAAACGATAATATATATTTACACTAAGGAAGTCTCACACTGGGTTAACAATAATATAGTTCAAATTTATGTTTGACGAGAATCAAATCTAAAACCTCTCACTTATAAATAAAGAAGAATATAACTAAACTGTAGTATTACATAGACTACATAGAATCATTATTATTAGTATTAGAAAAAGCAACAGATAGCGTGCTATGAAATACACCAAGAAATTCTTCGAATTTAATCATACACCTCTGTTCAAATCACATCCCACTCGCCCGGTCCACCAACTTTTCTGAAATTCATAGTGTGAACAATTATAGGCTGTACATATGTAAACATCATTCTCATATTAAACCATATTGTTAATTATGATCCACAAATTGCCCATGCCATAACAGTGACATTACGTACAAAGTAAACCTAGCTAGATTTGTCATTGGAAAAGACGCAATGGACAAGACGCAAGAAAACAAAAACATCCTTGACATGAGGAGAGACTAGCTAAAATCGCAAAATATAATAACATATACATGCACACAATAATATTCGTAAATAAGAGACAGAAATTACTTAACCTCTACGGTTAAACTTCATTCTGTACAAATTAAATCGAACTATGCATGCTGCATTCATATATATAAAAAAAAAAAAAAAAAAGGCTAGTGATAATCTGGCCTTAATTAATTTGGCAGCACACTATAGCTAGCAAGCTGTAGATGGATGAGTACTGTAGGGGTTGAAGATCAAGTGAGTCTTATTCGACCCGACTAAAAATGGACTTGTCGATGACTCGTTGTGATTATGATTATGATGATCGCCGACGTTGCAGATTTTCTCACAGGAGGGACACATGGTGAGAGTGGCAGTTGGAAACTGCATGTAAAAGGGTGCTGCTGCTGTTGCTGTTTGTTTCATTAATTTGAGCTCTTGCAGCTCCTTGTGTAGCCTTCTGTTCTCTTCCTTCAATGTTTCACAACATTGCTTCAACAACTCGCACTCTGCTTCCGTTTGCTTCAGCTTGGTCCTACAAAATTGTAATAAATTAAGAATATTAGAAAATTATATATTAGTGGAGACTCATATGAACAAGCATCAAACATGCACATCCTGAAAATTTTGAATACAAATAATAAGAATAATTAAGTATGAACTTGATATTCATGTTAACTGAACTCGAGACCTCCCACTCAGTGAGGATAAATACTTAGCACATCTTGGAAATTAAAGTAAATAAATTATACCTAGCCCTCCTGTTTTGGAACCAGACTTCAACTTGTCGTGGGCGTAAGTTTAGCTTTCTTGCCAGTTCTTGTTTTTGTTTCTGAAAAAATAAAAAAGCTTATAACATGAGACAAATAACTAGAAAAATTAATACGATAAGATAATTATTGATAAACAATGATAATCTAAACACAAGCTTATAATAAAATGAAGACAAATAAATACATAAATAAAGATGGTTTATGGAAAAATATAATATTTACTGGATTGAGAGTAGTGTGCTCTCTGAAGGTGTCCTCTAAAGTGGCGGATTGTTCTTTTGTAAGTCTGAGTTTCTTTCTAGGACTGCCTTCGTGATCTTGATCTTGATCATATAATTCGTCGCTTACTCTTGATGAAGTAGTGATATTCACTACTCTCTCTTCTTCTACCTCTCCCTCTATCTCTTCAACACCCAAACCTCTGTCCCTCTTGAAACTAGATGAGTTGGAGAACGAAGAAACGGCGCCGCTGCAGGGAGAAGAGGCCTGTTCTTGTGCTTGCACATATACTACTTGGTGCAAATGATCATCCGATTTGGCGGCCTCGATCTTAGCCCCGGACGATGGACCTAGGGTTAGAGCCGGCAATAGGTGATCATATTTCAACTGTATTTTCTTCTTCTTTTGGTGATCGAGATCGAAGGCCTGCAAATTTGTACGATGATCTGGATTACCTTGACAACCTAGGCTGAGTCCAAGGCCAGTGTTACAAGCTTCATGATCAAAACCCATCGATCTCTCTAATAATATTATTGTTGTTGTAGCAACAAATTAATTACAAAATATTTATATAAAAAAAAAAGTCTGAGCGTGGAGGCAAAAGAATATGGTATTTTTTTTAGGAGGGAGAGTTGGAGTAGTAGGGCTGTGGGGATCGGATTATTTAAGCAAAGGAAGGAAAGTGAGTGACGAATATGGTTTTGTGGAATTATAACAATTAGATCGACCCCATGTCTCTTTGTCCTCATAGGTTGACCAATATCACAAACAAATTATCTACTACTCTAATGTCTATATACGTCTCGATACAGTTGATGTGTATAGAAGGTATATGAAGCTAATTAAGCGAGTTTGTATATGTGTTTGTGTGTGTGTGTGTGTGTGTGTGTTAAGCATGCGTGGAGCCACATGGAATGTGGGTGTACACAAGAACGCACATTAAAGAGTGAGGGGAATAATGATTCGGCACTTTTCACCTTTTTCATTCCACTTTTTGATCTACTGAATTCTCACTTTATATTATACGATCGAACAACTATTTTATTCTACAGAGAGAGAGAGAGATTCTTTAGGTAGGAACGTATATACTTTCGACCACTTTCACACCAATACAGTGTGAAAATTTGATCAAAAAAATAATTTAGTGTGAAATTAACGGTTATCCTCATGTGTATTTAATGAACACATGCAATATTCATGGTACATCGATATACACATATATATCTTATTAGAAGAATTTCATACATTTACTCTTAAAATATGGAAAATACATTTATTTTCAAGTTTCAAATTTATTGAAACAATCTAAGGAAGGCAACATTGATAAGAGTCTGAAGATCAATCCTTCGTGTTCCTGCATGTAGACCTAGTTTGCAGACCACCCAAATGACTCTTTGAGTACCACAATCTGTGTTCCTGCATGACTTTTCTAACTAGAGTTTTTTTCTGAACTCCTTTTTAGCTAGGAAAAATCGATTATTACATGTTCATTATCATCACCTATCTATCTGACTTTTAAGATTAGAAATTCTAAGAGCATATCTTTTTTGAAGATAAGTGATGGGAATTAAATGATAGCCATTTGTAGGATTAATCCACCGACTAATCTATAAATTCATTGCACCTTTTGTGCGAGCTATGATTAAAAATCTCATATTTTCTTTGATGAGACATATAACCGTATCGATGCACTTTTTTTTCCTTGTTTCTCTTTTCTTTGGTTTAGCATAATTAACAGGGATTTTGTTCACAAAAATAGTTCTCCATGACATGGACATAACATAAAGAACGCAAGTTAGTTAGATGGCATAAAGACTAGAGATAGGATTTTCGTTATCTTGGCTAGGTTTTCTTCATTTACAAGTTTCTAGTGCGGTTGAGCAGATAGAGATACATTGACCTTGAAACAGTGGTGCCAATCAAAATGTAATTTAGTTGGTTTAAAAGATGAATGGGAATAATTGGGTTAGTTAAGATTAAACAAATTATTCCTCAATGCATCATCATTAACCTACACTTTAAGGCTTAAATTTAAAGTAAAGGGAAAAGAGCAGGGTTACAAACGACAAAGAATCCTAGCTTAGCTAATATCACACTAATTTAATTGTAAAACGAATCGTATAATGGTATCATGCATAACTTTATCATCGTCATCTTTAATTGTGTTGTATTGTTATTGTCATGTCCAATTCAGACCGTGTTATCTAAAGATTAAGTACATAAGCAAGGAAGAGGGTCCTCTCTGGATCTACTTTGTGGGGATCCTAGGAATCTCCACATCTTAGCCAGTTTTCGTCAGATACTATTTGAGTTTAATTTTAAATAAAAAAATCAAATAATTTCTGACCATATGATACATGATAAATGGTTAAGATGTAGAGATCCTTAGGATTCCCACAAAGTGAATCCAGATGGGATCCAATTCCCATAAACAATGCGTAACTAACCATACTAAATAGATAATAATATTCGTTATAATTAAAGATTGTGAACAAAAACGTTCCTATTTAGCAAGTGTAACTGCGTGGAAAGCCGGCAATGGATAGACAAGTAGACCCCACCAATGATTTTGGATGATGGGGCATTTGAATTGATTCTATAGAAAATAGTTGTAGTTTAATTTGGTGATGGAGGCAGAAGACCTAAAAAGGACTGTAGAGTTAGAAACTAAAAAGAAGTTGGCAATGCAATGATGGAATGGATGTGATTGAGAGAGCAAGAGCAATGTGTAAGGGTGGGGGTGGTGTTGGAGGGAATTGGATCCTCTCTTGAGCAGGATATCAGGATCCTCCTGACCCATTAACATGGATCGTTGGATTTTGATTCAACGGTTACAATTATCATAACTTTTAGAAGGGCTTCCTGTTTGTAGCTGTTGGATCAAAATCCAACGGTCCGTGTTAGTGGGCCAGAAGGATCCTGATCTCTGGCTGAGGAGAGGATCCAATTCCGTGTTGGAGATAAGGTTTCAGATGTGTTCCGGGCTTTAAGGCCAGCCGACCAGTGAGTGTGTATGATTGTGCTCGGTGTTTGGCTTTTCCACATCCTTCTTCTTTCTTTCCCATACCCAATCGTTCATGTCAAATAACAAGAAGCCACCATAATTTCCAAAAAAAAAAAAAAGGACAAGAAGCCACCACTTTTGTCTACATATTTCTCAACCACGTAAAATCACAAGCCAGACCTACACTTTCAAGCATATTAACTAGTAATATTGTTGTGTCAAAAATTAGTATTGTTGTTAATCATTTTATTTATTATTAGAGGACAAGAATATAAGATCTGCTAGGGTAACCAACTAGGCTTTCGGCTAGTGGTATTGACTATTTGTCATAATTTAGTTGGAGATCTAGTTTGAATCTTACAAATAATGAACATGATATATTTGTAATAAGTTCAATTTATAATTGTAAAATGATCATTCTTTTTTGTAGCGCTAATGTCAAAACATAAAATTTAGCCACGGTTTAAATGTCAATTTAAAATGCGTTAGTATTCATGCATGTAAAATCTGTTTGAGATAATTGGGCAGTAAATTCAAAATGGGATGGGACAACAAGAGTCTAGTCATAGCAACATAAGCTTCATTGACTTTCGTGGAAAATGAGGGTAGGAGAGCATCGTCAAGGCACCGGCCTTTCCGAAAGCAAAGCTTTTGCTTACCCCACTGGGATTGTCTTTCAGTTTGTGATATATACTGCTTTCTATTTGTGTGGGACTAATTAAGATTTGGGGTTAGAGCATCTATCATTCGATGCATTCGGCTCCAGATTACCAAAAATATTATTTTGCCGACAAATTCTAAGCCGAGAAAGAAAAATTTTATCGGTACAAAAGCCCTCTTCCGATGAATGTTTTAATTTATCGGCTGAATACTCATACTATAACCAATTTATAGTGTCAATCTTAGCCGATGAAAATTCAGACCTTACCTAATAAAATAAAGGAATTGTTATTGACACTTCAAAAATCTCATTCTACACTCCAAACTTACTATATTTGGAAAGAAAAATACACTTGTCAGGAGTGTAGAATGAGATTCCAAATTGATTCAATTTCTGTTCTCTAGTTACTTGCTCTTCAGTCGCTCGCACTACGATTAGTGTGCCTTTTGTTTCTCTCTCTGAGCTACGACCAACTCTCTCTCTTTCTAAGCTCTGACTGCTAACAAGGACCCTCATGCCAGATTTTCTTTCGCACAATACCTCTATTGGATTTTGGGTTTGGGTTTCTTTTCAATCTCTTTCAACCGACTCTTAAATTTTGTGTTGGTGTTAGGTTTTGTTATATTGAGTTTCTGGTGAAGCAATTTTCAGGTATGTTATTTTTCTCGAGAATTAGTGTTGGATGAGTCGAATTGGGTGATGCTTGGTTAACAAAAAAGAAGAGACAGTGGCTTGCACTTGTTAGTTGAATGTTGGATATGGCCTATTTAACCCAATATTAATTGACATTTGGAACTAATTGAATATATTTGTGGAGTTTGTCATTTGGATCCATCTTACTGCGGTACTCTGGCTTTAAATGAGATCATGTTCATTTGAATCTAATCAGTTTTTACAAGCAATAATGTAAAATTTACAGGCCTTTCTAGTTCATGATCTTCATTTAACACTCAACATCCTAAGTAGTTTAACAATTTTACGGCTTCATTTGATCAGCAGCGGAAGTATGCTTATTTTACTTAAACTAATTCTGATTAACAATCCATGCTTACAGATTGAGAACTTGGAATGTGATATCCATGAAAAGAGAAGGAAAATGAGGGTTTTCGAACAGCGGATTAAAGAAAGTGGTGAGGCTTCAATTACTAATGCATCTATATATGGTTGAGATGCAGCAAGTAGTTTTGCGTTCTCATCATCTTAATTATTCTGGTTCATAAGTAGTAGTACAATTTTGTTTCACCATTTGCAACAAGTAGCTGAAACTTTGTTTTAATTACTTATAATTTCTGCAAAATGTTTGAAATGGTACCAGGCATCCTGATATATTTAATAGTCTTAGTAAAGATTGAAACTTTTTCTACAGATTGCTTTTATGAATCTGTGAATTTTTGAGAGAGAATCAGAAGGAGAGGAAGAGTCTGTATATTTTAATCAATTGGTAAATGAAAATTACAAAGGCTATATGCCCCTCAACTTGGTCAAAAACCTAACCCTACATTTTAGGTATCTAGTACTCTTCTCCGGCCACTAAGGGCTCTGGAGGATATCATCCATCCATCTGGACGGGAATGAGAGTGCATAGTACGATTGGATAAAATAAAAATACCAGCTGTGAACTTTCTAACAAAAGAAATAGAACTAGCCGTTGCAATTCAAACTCAACGGCTCCTTTCTAAAAATAGCAAGTTGTTCATCACTTGTTTTCTCAGCTTCCTCTCGATTGGAACTGCAGGATTAACATCTGCAGATTGATCTTAATGCTAGTAGGCAGCTTAATTCTCAACAGCCTCTCCTAAGCTGCTTACTGGCTTCACTCCTAACTTCATCCTCAGATAATTGAATCGATCTTTGGGCAAAGCTTTAGTAAATATGTCTGCCAACTGCTCTTCACTTCTGCAATACTTCACATCAATGGATCCTTGCTGCAATGCTTCTCGAATAAAGTGATACTTCCTGTTTATGTGTCTGGTTCTCTGATGAAAGACTGGATTTTTGACCATTGATATTGCAGACATGTTATCACAAAACAATGGTGTTGCATCAGCTTGCAATTCACCAAAGTCATCCAACACAAATCTTAGCCAGATGGCTTGAGCTGTTGCTCCAGCTGCTGAGACATATTCAGCTTCTGCAGTTGACAATGCAACTGTGTTTTGCTTGACTGAGGCCCATGAAAAAACACCACTTCCAAAGCTAAATGCATATCCAGATGTGCTTCTACTGTCATCTTCACTTCCAGCCCAATCTGAGTCACAAAATCCAATCAAAACAGCCTCCTTGTCCCTTGTGAATTCAATACCATAGCTGAGAGTGCCTTGAATGTATCTGAGAACCCTTTTAGCTATTCCCATATGTTTTTTCGTGGGACCATGCATGAATCTTGATAACAAACTGGCAGCATACATTATATCAGGCCTGGTTGCAGTTAAATATAACAAACTGCCAACAATCTGCCTAAATAAACCTTCATCAGTCAGCTCACTTCCATCAATTTTCTTCAGTTTCTCACCAGTGGAAAGAGGAATTGTCACAGACTTACAATCCTCCAATCCAAACTTTGCAAGTAAGGACTTTGCATACTTACTTTGATGAATAAAGACCCCTCTTTCAGTTTGTAGAACTCCCATTCCCAAGAAATGGTGTAAGAGTCCTAAGTCAGTCATCTCATATTTCTGCATCATGTCTCTTTTAAACTCACTGAGCAGTGTATTGCTACCTCCAGTGTATACTATATCATCAACATATATAGAGACTATGATCATATTTCCTTCATCATCAGTTCTAGTATATAAGGTAGCCTCACTGATGCTTCTTTTAAAGTTGCAGCTTGTGAGATAAGTGTCAATCTCACTGTACCAGGCTCTAGGAGCCTGCTTCAAACCATAGAGTGCCTTCTTTAGCTTACAGACCTTGTGGCTTGCATTTTTGACTTCAAAACCCTCTGGTTGCTCAGTGTAAACCTCCTCCTCAAGTACTCCATTCAAGAAGGCTGATTTAACATCTAATTGGAACAACTTCCAACCCTTCTGTGCTGCAAGTGCAATTAAGGTTCGAATTGTATCTAACCTTGCCACTGGAGCAAAGGTTTCATTATAGTCCACACCAGGTTTCTGAGCATACCCTTTTGCCACAAGCCTTGCTTTGTGTTTTTGAACTAATCCATCTAGATTCAGTTTGGTTTTGAACACCCATCTGACTCCTATAACAGGCTTGTCTGCAGGTCTTTCCACCAGCTCCCAAGTTCCATTTTTCTCAATGGTTTCAATCTCAGCATTCATTGCTTCCTTCCATGCACTGTCTTTAATAGCTTCATGATAGGTTTGAGGCTCAATGATAGTCATATGACATCTTGCATAAATGTCTTCCAAGCTTCTCAGCTTTACAGGTGTGTTACTTGGTGTTGAACTCTGACTGGTACTGCCATTGTTGCTTCCAGTGACATGTTCATCACCAGACACTAATTAAGTGAGATTTGGGGAGTCACAGCTTTGAGTTTCATGAATGAGCCATTCTGGTTCAGTTATCTCTGGATTTTCATTTTCAAAACTGAGTGGCATGAAAACAGTTTCTTCTTGCTTGCTTTCCTAATTCCATGATTTGCTCTCATCAAACACAACACTTCTTGAGAGTATGATCTTCTTAGTTTGAAGATTATAGATCCTGTAACCTTTCTCACAGCTGCCATATCCCATAAATATTCCCTTGTTTGCTTTATCATCAAATTTCTGTCTCAGATTTGATGGAATGTGGCTGTAACAAATACTTCCAAACACTCTCAAATGTTTTACACCTAGTTTCCTTCCTGTGAAAGCTTCAAATGGTGTTTTACCCTTCACTGAGATTGTAGGACATCTATTCTGCAAGTACACTGCAGTTCCAACTGCTTCAGCCCAAAAATCCACAGGAATGTTCTTCTCAGCCATCATTGATCTGGCCATTTCACAAATAGTTCTATTTCTTCTCTCAGCAACTCCATTTTGCTGAGGTGAGTATGCCACTGTCAATTGTCTCTCCATTCCAATGTTAGAACAGAAATTCAAGAATTCATGGGAGGTATATTCACCTCCTCTGTCACTTCTCAGCTTCTTAAGCTTGAAACCACTTTGTAGCTCAACAAAGGCTTTAAACTTCTTAAACACATTGAACACATCAGATTTGTTCCTTAGAAAATACACCCAACACATTCTTGAGAAGTCATCTATGAATGTTATGAAATATCTGTTGCCACCAACAGATTCATTCTGCATTGGTCCACAAACATCAGTGTATACCAGTTCTAATGGTTGACTAGCTCTCCAAACTTTCTCTTTATCGAATGGTTCTATATGCATCTTCCCAGAAACACAACTCTCATAAACTTCCTTCATCTTAGATAATGCAGGCAATCCAAGCACCAATCCTTCTCTCTGCATCCTTTTCAGACTGTTAAAGTTCAAGTGACCAAGCCTTTTATGCCAGATCCTTGACTCTTCTTCAATTGAAGCTTTTCTAGCTACTGCATTTATAGATTCAAAGGACAATGGAAAGCATCTGTTCCCTGTCATAACAACCTTTGCTACCACATTTTCAAGGTTGCTATCATCAAATATCACGGCCATGTTACCACCAAATAGAACATAATAACCGTGTTCCATTATTTGACCAACACTTAACAAATTTTCATCTAATCCTGGAACCAGCAGCACTTCATTTATGTATCTTTTCCCTCTTCTTGTCTCAACTACCAGTGTTCCTTTTCCTGTGGCTTGAACAAGATCACCAGTACCCATTTTCACTTTGCAGGTCACTGACTTATCAAGATTGATCAATAAGGACTCTTGAGAAGTCATGTGATTACTGCAAGCACTGTCCACAAACCACACAGACTTACTTGATGCAATTAAACTAGCATGACAAACATAGAACATTGTTCATGTGACCAGATCTTCTTCCTTTGCACAATTTGCAACTTGTTTACCATTATCACAGTCCTTAGTTAGATGACCAAATCGACTGCACCTGCCACACTTGGGTTTTCCTCTATATCTGCATATACCAAAGTGATATTTGTCACATACTTGGCATAGTGGTTTCACATTTCCTTGACTGCCACTGTTTTGTTTGTTGTGTGCAGCAAACTTGTTGTTCGAGCCACCACCAGTGCCATTATTCCAGCTGCTATTCTGACCCCAGTTCTTTCCCTTCTTATACTGACCAAACTTTGGGTTTGATTTATACTGAGACCCTTTAAAATTTCCAGTGCCATTTCCTCCAACTTTAAGACTACTGAAAGCCCTCTCAGTACCTGTGTATTTGTCTCTTTCATCATGCAAGTCTTCCCTCTTATCATAAACTTTCACAGAGGCTAGGACTTCTTCAATCCTAATAGTATCTAGATCTCTGGTTTCTTCAATAATCGACACTATGGACTTGTACCTTCTACTTAGACTCATCAACAGCTTTTGAACAATCCTTTTTTCTGTTACATCTTCTCCTAGAGATTTCAAGTTGTTTACTATCTCAAAAAACCGAGCCAAGTAATCATCCAGAGATTCAGCATCATTCATTCTCAAATATTCAAAATCAGCTCTAATGGCTTGTAATTTCACAGCTCTTACCTTTTTATCTCCTCTGAATTCTCTCCTCAGAATTTCCCAGGCACCCTTTGCCGTCTTCTCATTTCGGATTCTGGGAAAGAGTTCATCAGTAATGGCTCCTTGAATGAGACTTAGAGCCTTGGCATTCTTGATCTTCACCTCCTTTGAGACAGCCGGTCCTTCAACTGGGAGGTGCTCAGACTCGCTTCCTCCATCTTCCTCAGAGACATCCTCTGCAGGGGCTTGTTGTTCAGCAAGACCAGCTTCAACCACATCTCATAGATCGTAAGCTATGAGAATGGTTTCCATTTTAATGGCCCAAAAATCATAGTTTGACCCATTAAATTGTGGTGTTCGTAAATCACCACCGGAGGAGCTTGATCCGGCCATCTTCTCAGGTAGCGCAGCACAAATGGTTATAAAGGTACCACCTTTAACCCTTTCTGGATTTGTATCTTCACAGAAGCACGTCCCTTCTTCGAAATCAGACCTAGAGCTCTGATACCATGTTTGAAATGGTAACAGGCATCCTGATATATTTAATAGTCTTAGTAAAGATTGAAACTTTTTCTACAGATTGCTTTTATGAATCTGTGAATTTTTGAGAGAGAATCAGAAGGAGAGGAAGAGTCTGTATATTTTAATCAATTGGTAAATGAAAATTACAAAGGCTATATGCCCCTCAACCTGGTAAAAAACCTAACCCTACATTTTAGGTATCTAGTACTCTTCTCCGGCCACTAAGGGCTCTGGAGGATATCATCCATCCATCTGGACGGGGATGAGAATGCATAGTACGATTGGATAAAATAAAAATACCAGCTGTGAACTTTCTAACAAAAGAAATAGAACTAGCCGTTGCAATTCAAACTCAACGGCTCCTTTCTAAAAATAGCAAGTTGTTCATCACTTGTTTTCTCAGCTTCCTCTAGATTGGAACTGCAGGATTAACATCTGCAGATTGATCTTAATGCTAGTAGGCAGCTTAATTCTCAACACAAAAGACTATTAAGTCTGATGACCTAGTGCAATGAGAAGCGATTTGAGTTGAAGTGAGTGCATTCTTTATATATCGGTTTTTTGAGTGACTGTATGCTTTATATATCAGTTTTTTTATCGACACAAAATGGGCAATGTTTCATTCCTAAACTTCTCCTATCACTTTAGCTGTCATCTGTGTTTGGGGCTATAACATTTGCTCAGTACATCCCAATTGTCGTGGAACTCATCCTTTAGCTATACCTTTCATGCAGATAAAATCAGCAGATAATCGTATTCTCCAAGAGCAATTGCAAACTAGGGTTAGAATGCCTTCCTTAATTCCTTTCGAGCATTATACATTTTTTTTCCGTTCAACTGATTCATTTTAAGCTCTGTCTTGTATCAGTGCAGGCTTTCATCCTTTAGTATATTGCTCAGCTTTCTGTGTATTTGCAGGTGCAGATGTGGTGTGATGCTACATGGCAATCAATTTTGAGGAATGACAGTCAATTTAGAGGAATGACGGATAATTTTATTGTGTGACAGTTGCTTTTGTATAAGCACTATAGATGTACATTTGAAATTTATCAATCAATAAAATACTATTTCTCACAATTTTGTGTATTGTATTTTGATATGTATATGTAGTTTCTGAGTATTTGTTTGGGCCCAAAATATTATTTTGGGCCAAGCTTAGGTTCGGTCCAAAGCTTTTCCAAATATATTATGGGTTGCCTGGTGGCCCCGGGCTGGTCAGTAAAGGTGGTCGAGTCCTATTGCAAGAAGGAGTAGTTCAGATGAACGAATGGGTCGAAGAAGTCCCAATACGATAAGGAAGCCTAGTGCAATACGGATTCTCGACCGGCAATGAATACGGCCTTAAAAGGGGGGTGAGTTCAAAGTCCTAATAGGAATATGATTAGTCGAGATAAAGTTGGAACAAGAAGTCTTAGTCCGAATATGGTTTCAACTTGATCTTAAGGAGGTTTTGTTGCTATAAATAGAGAGCAGAGTGCATCATTGAAGCCCCTCCAATTCAACACACAACTATCCTGCGCAAACTTCTCAAACATCTTGAGTTTGGATAAACAGCACTGTGAAGACAATCGACGAACATCTTCAGTTTGGATAAACAGCAATGTTATGTATAATCAGCCGACCGATGAGCACCTTCAGTTTGGATAAACAGCACTACGTCAAGGCCGACTGGTTATCTATCCAAGTCTTGGTCGAGAAGGGTCTCCGAATCCTTATTGGCAGATGTCATCTTATTAGCCCTTCCGATGAAGTAATGTGTTACGAGTTACGACATTAGGCACATTTAACACCGAGTGATTTTATGATTGGATACTCACAAGTGAGTTTTAGAGTTCAGCATTCTGACGGCCGAACCACATTTACCATCAAGACATACATCTCATTTGAATACTTATGTCTATATAGTATGGTGTCGATTCGACGTGCTTATACTCTCACGAATATAATCACTGTGACTGAATCCGGCGCCGACGATTCGTGAACTTCATAGAACTAGCAACCTTATCTTTAGGCTCGAGAATCCAAATGCCAAGATTTGTTCCTTCTTCGACCGCAGTCGTAAGATCAAGAAATCAGCAATACGCTCAACGCAACATCAACAAATTGTACTCCTCGGCCAAGCTCGGCCGACGAGTTGGCACGCCTCGTATCAACTTAAGGACGTAGTTATCTCATTAGTTACTCGGCTTGCGCGCCACGTAGGTTTTGTAATTTTTAGGGTCAACAGTATTATAGCATTTTTTTTATAAATTAAAATTTTCCCGGCAAAGCCAATTTTGTTAAGAGAGAAGACTATGCTGAGGAAATATCCATGGTGACGAACACATTTAGTTGGCTAAAAAGTTTTATTTGTCGGCTTAAAAGCACTGTACCGACAAAAGTATTTGTCGGGAAAGATGGAAATGCTGACAAAAAAGAGTTTGTCAGGAAAAGTTGAACTTAGCTGACGAAATACCACAATTCGTCGGGAAAACTCTTAGGCGACATGCTTTAGGTGACAAAATGGCCGACGAATTTTCGTCAAGAAAGACTCTTTGCCAACAAATTAAGTTTGTCGGTAAAGTTGAAATTTCTAGTAGTAAGAAATAGAGACAGAGACCATGTCATGAGCAGCTCCGACCTCACCTTCCATGAATGCGACTATACATCTCAATCATGCTTCAAAAAACTTTGTACCAAAATCTCTAGCAAAAAATTATTATATGAATAGTATTTGCGTCCGGCTAGTGAATGTGCACCTTACTCATTCATCTAGTTGTAACGTAGTTTAATTGAACAAATGTCAACGAAGAATTCTTTGCGGGTTAACAATGAAATTGATTTTACAAAATTTTCATTGAAGAATGGATGATTACCTTCTTTATAGGCACACGGTTGTGAATTATGGATTCTTTCTGAATGGGTGCATACTAGGGTTTCGGTGTCGAGAATGGCTTGACTTTGGATTTCTTGCAGTATGATGAACCCCGCATAGACCCGCACTACATAGCAAGTAAGTACATAACCCATATCATATATGTGCAATTTTGTTCCAAATTGCAAGACTTGTCGTGTTCAAATTGAAGATACTAGCCTTCATGCATGTGCTTATGTGCGCATGAAGACATTTTTTGAATCATGACATGTTACACGTCACTTACACGTTTTAAATGTATTATTATGCACTTGCCAAAGACCTTTTTTTATAACCAGTGAGCGCGTGCAGAAGGCATTTTTTTAAGGGGCTTTTAGATCCAGGTCCAAAAAATAGTGTTTTTAGGAGTGAGTCCAGTTATCTAATTTTATATTTTTATTTCTTTTATACTCATTTAATATTTCCTAAAAATATTAAAAATCAATTAAAATCTTTTAATATTATGCATTTTCCAACTCCAAAATATCTAATTAATATCTTATAACAAAAAAAAAACTAATATACTAACATAAATCTATCTGCAAAACATTCTACCCTAACTCAAGTAGCAAATATATGAATGTATATTATACCTATAAGTGAGATATGAAACCTAACTAAAAGGTAGAAAAAAACATGATATACCTACAAGTAAGACACATTAATCTATGACAGGTTGATTATGAAAAAAAAATTGTCATATAGGTAGATAAATACAATTAACCTATGATATAGGTTGATTATAAAAATTAAAATAAAATCTATAAATGGGTTAAAGAAGGAGGAAGAACAAGAAATAACAAAAATAAAAAAAATAAAAAGAAATAATCAAAGAGATAATTAGGAAGAAATTTGATTTTTACAATAAATTTATTCATTGAAGAGATAATTATTGATAATAGAATAATTAAATTTAAGGAATTGGACTCATTTTAATAAACTGGACTATTCCTACTATTGACTCAAAAAATTGGACTTATATCAAGTTTCCTCTTTTTTTAATCACACCGTGCTACATGCAACTTACACGTTTTAAATGTATTATTATGCAAGTGTGAAAAATCTTTTTATATAACTGGTGAGCGCATGCAGAAGGCATTTTTTGAATCACGGTGTGCTATGAGCGACTTACATATTTTAAATGTATTATTATGCGTGTGCGAAAAACTTTTTTTATAACCGACACTACATGTCTCTTAAGATATTTTGAATGTGTTTAAAAATAGAGAAAATAATATTTAATAAACAACGTATTGAATCACATTATTACTCGCCTATTGTGAGGTACTAATTAAAAAATATATATATTATGCTTGTGCGAAAGACCTTTTTTATAATCAGTACTACACGCTTGTTAAGATATTTTGAATGTGTTTAAAAATAGAGAAAAAAATATTTAATAAACAACTGACTGAATCATATTATTACTAGTCTATTGTAAAGTACTAATTAAAAAAATTATACAAAAAGTATTTTAAAACACTATTTATATGACAAAAATTCCCTTGCATTATTTTGGATTGCTTTTGAACCTTTTTGTTTGGGGGGCATTTTTGTCCTAAAATCTTTGGTGAAGCTGGTGACCCCAAAAGGACCTCTTGGCTTTATATATAAAGATATATAGTTATAGATGATTCGATGAACATCTCTTTGCAAAAATGGCCAAAATTAGGTTAAATTTGACTCCTAATAATACAAAAGTTTTTATAAGTAAGTAGCTACTTAATTTCATAATGCTACCCCAATAAGGGCTCTCTAGTACTAGCCTCACAATGAGCTAGTAATAATTTGGTTTAAATTCGTTTTTTTGGCTAGAATTGAACCTAAGACCTCTCACTTATAAGTGAAAATGAATATACTTATATTGTAATACTAAGTGACATCTAGTATTAAGTATTAACTAATATAGTATCATATTACTTATTCCATGCAATCAAAATCATTTAAGGGAGAGCGAGAAAGCGAACCAAAATTCAAC